CAGTCAGCCCCCCCCCCGCCTCTCACTCGATTCGGCCCTGATTAGTATCTATTGTTACAAGTTTTCGATACGTACTTTTTTGTGGTTGTATGCATATGTTATACCATGTGTAGTGCTGCAGCTATCGGTAGCCCTAATGCCCTATATATAGCTGTGTAATTATCTTTACTCACTTCCATTTCGGGCATTCCGGAAGCGGAAGAACCAGTTGATGTAGAACAGATTTAAGTTGATGTGATATGAAATTATTGATATTTTGTTCATTTTCAAAAACTTCAATTACCTTATCTGTTCATATTCACCCGCATGCATGTACACAGATATGCGGACGGGTGTATGTTTGTGTGCAAACAGCTCGCGCGGATTCTTGAGTACAGTTGAGAGAGAGACTGAGGTGGCTGAGAGTGCCGCGAATGAGCGTCGTCGAACGGAACCCTTGTCACACAACGCATGCTCATCCACCTACGTGTCCCTTGTGATCCTGTCCACCCACTCCGTCCAAACACGCACACACCTAAAAACAAATAATCACCTACCTGTTTCACAGTTTATCAATATTGAGCAAATATAAGGACTAAAAAGTCTTTACACTGTCGGAAGTTGCTTATGTTGGAGCCAAATTTCTCTCTATGTCCAATCACTCGGGAATAAGGTAACCCAAGCCCACGAGGGCTTCCAATCGCGAAGACAAAGTCGTGCCTTTTTACAATGTGAAAAAGCTTCCAACGGATAACCGAAATTCCCGGTTAACTGTCTCAAATTCCCTCTCCTGAGGAAGCATTACTCCTTGCTTCCCCATTGTGTGACTGTTTTTTCCATCAAATGGGCAAGAAGAAGAGCCAACGTCGGGGAGGAGGGAGGTAGAGAAGCGTCGATGAACCACGGGCAGTTCACCTAGTGTGGTTCACAATAAAACCTGATTCACAACCAAACAAGAAGAGGGGCACAGACCACATCCACATCTTATTAGTTTTGGTTACGGTCACGTTGAGAAAACATTACGCGATTTGATGCCCGAAAGATACATCACTTATATCACTTTATGTCTGCATTCGGACTAAGACTTGTATTGCACGCTGACCCCAACCAACAGCGGGTTATGCGATCGAATTCGTATCAGAGACCATGCAGTAAAATACGGTGACATAAAGTACCAGGACCATTGAACAGTAGTGATGAGCCACAGCGATGTGTAGTTTAAATCTTTTTGTGTTTACTAAAGTAGATCGTTACTGTGCTATTAGTTTTGAGTAGTTACGTGCGAGAGCAATATGAGAAACCATTGGTTGTCATTCGTGGGAGAACACATGCCGTGGATTAGAACAGAGATCCGCGGCATCAATTCAGATACTCAAATACTCTCGTTTTATCGTGTTTTAAGTTCAAGCTAATAAGCAACTCGAATCCAATGGAAAGTGATATGAAGACGCCGCTTCCAAAACCGGGATGGCGGTGCAATTCTCAATCGAAATTCCAAATTGGTCTAACGAAACATCCGCTTGAAACTGGCCTACGCAAGGGATAAATTTATCCACAAGATGAACAGAGGCTTGCGATGTTGCTCTTGTGTCAGGTTATCCAATGAGGGGGTACCACATGCTTGTTAAACAACTTAGTTGTGCTTTATCCTAGTAAAATGCCATATTTCGTTTTCCCATATCAAGGGTGTATCTTAATTATCGTAGTACACCAGACGAAAATCACGATGCAGATAGTATTCCTTGAGGTACTCTCAAAACGTTCATGGCCTACCAGAAAACGACCGTTGTACAGACCCTTGGAGGGCAAAGTAGTACCACATTCGGCTTCTTCTACGTCTCGATCGCTAAAGACGGAACCATGGAAACCATGGCAAACCTCGAGGAATCCAGAGTAAAAGTTTAACTAGAAGGTAGTATGTTAAATAATAATTGTACGGTTTAGCTATATCCACAGAACACTGTGGAATCCTTCCATTACTATTAGAAACTGAAAGGGTAGGGGTAAATTCGACTTGGAAGGTGTGTCTTATGATGAGAATCCCGTGGTGCCCGGTGCATCTCATTTTAACTCTGTCGATTTGATCCCATAGGATTCGAGTGACACGCGCTGCCTTTAAAATATACGGTATGTCATTCAAAAAATGTTTGTTCAAGATAAGGTGCACTAAAAAAGAATTCTTTTTGATGGCTTCCATCTAAAATATAGTATTACTCGTTGTTAAAGGAAATAAACTGAAATATTGGCTTTGAATAAACTTCCGAGAAGTGAAACCAACACCAGAATATCATCAAACGGACTCTGGAATAGGTAAGACAGTGATCAATCGAATTCGCGAACCAATGTAATCAAGGTGCTTGTCATCTACGATATAGCCGAGTGAACAGACCTATGGCTCCCAACCCGAACCTCGAATTTAAGAAATTTATCATTGTTGATGAGACCCATTAGGGACGAAACTGCTTTTCAATTTCCTTTGTAGATCAGTAAATGTTTCCATGATTTACAAAATAAAATAACGAGATGGGAGTCGATAAACATCAAGAAAATGAAACTTGCATCTGATCATCATGACGCAACCTCTGTTGTCTGCGCGGAATAAATGATCAGTCTAAGAAATCTCTCATCGTCCGTGTCTGGACTCCATCGAATCCGGAGGAGTGCACTGCTGACGCTTTGCAAACACTGAATGAAATACCTAGTCAACTACCCAGAGATACTCATTGGTGGCCGACATGTAATAGTTGCCTGTCACATGCACTTCAAACAAAACAGTCTACTTATTGAAAAAATAATCGGCACTGAAGTAATAACAAGAATGGTATTCGTCCATCATCTGACTAATTTTCCACCAAGGTTTAGTAACGCATACATGAAAAATAAATTTCAGACATAATGCGGTTTATTAATAAACAAAGACAATCGGAAAAGATAAATTTATTTATGATCCATTGCCATACTACTTCACATTGATCATTGTCTTGTCCAGGGGTAAGACCCTGCTCCGTGTACTCCCACTCTGACGCACGACCTGGAAAATATCACTTAACAGTTCTGTGGTGTTACAAGTATTTCAGAGGTATATTCTACCCTGGGATTGTTTCTGAGGTGGCAGTTGTTAATAGATACCAGTTGGTGTACACACCGTCACGCTCCATACCGGAACCTATCACCTACTTAGTTCAGTCAACTGCCTCGGCATTGGATAGAAAGTGCGCCTGATATGTACTGAGCACATGATTGTTTCTAGTTGTCTCCACAGACCTACCTACCTTGTTGAATATGCTTTCAGGAAAAGCTTTAACCGTAGGAATTTACCAATTCATCCGTGATATCACTGATCGTACTCATTTCAAACCGTAGCACGATATATTCCTTGTCTATCTCTCCCTCTCTCGACTTAAGGGTAAATTAGAATGCCATTCTCTGCCCGTCTCTATTCATTATGTCAGAGCAATTTATTGTCTTCTACATTAATGAATAAGCGAATATGCATTATGTCTTTATGCCGCCGTCTGAAATCTGAAGGGGAGCAGA